GAACATTGAGGTTAATATTTTAGAATTTAAAATGATTAAAAAATATTTGTAATTGTGATATTTTATAGATGCCGTCCTTAGGAACAACATTTTTTAAGGTTTTCCAATTATCGGCATATGGGTGAATAATAATAATAAGCAACTTTTCGATCATTTTGGCTTAAAAATTGGAAAAAAAAGTTAAATAACGAATTTTTTATTAATTAATTTATAAAAAATCAGTTTTGAGTTGTTTTACATAATGGAAGACCTGGTTTTAATCTTAAATTCTTTTAACTTCTAAAATGCGTAATTTAGCCATGCCGATAATTGGATGAGAGGTTCTCAAAGTCGGCAGCATGTTTTTCAATTGTAATATTTTAAAAAATAAAATTATTTCATATAGCGACTAATCATATAATTTTTGTTTAACTAAAATGCGACATGCCGACATTACCTAATTATCAATTTACTCAACTTTAATAAAAATTATATCAACAAATTATTATTGCATCGGGGAGTAAACAAAATCTCGAGACAGATTAACCTAAACGTGAAACGGTGAAACGTTTAAAATGCGTAAATCCTTAAAGTACCGACTATTGGTACACTTACCCTATATCTATATATCTATATTACTTTGGAGCCCAACATAATAAGAGGTTGTGATTCTCACACAAAAAATATTTATAATCAGAATTTTTTTTCTGAGTGCTTCCTTAAAATAATCTTTAAGTCAATATCTCTCCAATAGAATTTGTGGTTCTTGTAAAACAGCATATAGAGATTAATATAAAATCGTCGATTTTGCATTTGGTTTTCTTGATATTGGGCTTTTATTTTTCAGAAAGAATGTACTGTATCTCCCGAATTCAAGGATGTAACGATGTCAAATTTTATCCATATCCTATCTAGGATAGTTGCATTAAATCTGTGAACAGAAAATTGTTCTATGATTACGGAAAAAAATTCAAGGCTCTAACCCGTTTAGCCTTTAATCTTTAAGTCAATATCTCTCCAATAGAATTTTCGCCATAACTGCTGCATCTAATTTTGTTTGTCTCCAATTAGCATTATTTGCTTAAATTCTAATTCGATTGTGTTTTTCTTACAAGAAATTCTCATAATTACATTTTACAATAATTAAATGGAAATATTGATTTTGGCTTTGGCACGTTTCACAACGAAATTCACAAAAATTAAACATCTATAATTTACATAGAGATGACAATGGGCCTCACCCATGTCTACTGTATAGGGACACAAAATGTTTTTTCAAATGAAATAATTTTCAAATCACAATAACCGGTCACAATGGACGCAGTTTTTAATTTTTCATGGTTTGCATTTTTATTTCAGGGGAATTGAAATCAGCTGGTGTATTTGGAGCTTATTCGTTGTGAAAGAAATTCGAAACCCCAGACCTGACATGCCCAAAAACCAAACAATAATAATAAAAACACAATAGATGAGAATACAAAGCCCGCACACACACTCAAACAAACCTTTGAAATTCTTAAACATTCATTAATTCCACTTCATTATTATTATTAATTTAGCTGGTTCTGCTGGGTCGTCTGCGTCCCCAACATTCGTAATGCCAGAGTGGAGAGTGGGTAGCTTCATTCTACGGTTGCTTTTTTTCCAGTTCATTACTGACCTGTTATGATTTTATCTGTTTTTTTATATTTCCCTCTGTGCCTTTTTTATTATTATTGTCTCACACTCTCTCTCTCTGTGCCTATTGCTCTCTGTGTTCCCATATATTTCTGGTTTTCTCTCTTTTTGGTAGGCCTCTTTGTGTCGCGTGAATGACACTTTGCACTTTGTGTGTTTTATATTGTTGTCGTTGCTATTGTTGTTGTTGTTGCCACTGCTGATGTTTTGTACTTCTTATATTTTGCTGGCGCTGCTGCAGCTGATGGTGTTGTTCCTGCTATTTGTGGATGTGGAGGCGATGATGTTGCTGCAGTTTGTTGTTCCTATATTTTGTTCAGGGCACAAACCCAAACACACACGCACACTCCTCAGACTTGCACCAAAATGACATAAAAGCCAGCAGCAAAAGCAACAACACACCAACTCACGTTTGAAATACAAAACAACAACAAAAACATCAATAAAAGCAACCACAACGCAAGCAGCAGCAACAACAACAACCGCAACGTCATACAAACGTCATGTATGACAATGCAAAAACACAACCACACAAAAACAAATAATTGTAGAAGAGGAAACTTTAAAAACACCACCAACAACAATTAAACAAAAACAACAACAGCAACAGCACACAAATATGTCCCCACTAACTAAAGCAACACAATACAAAATTTCTAAAGATGAACAGCAGCAGCAACAACAACAAAAAATATGTTCTTTATTTCTGTGTGGTTTTAAATTGGGAGCAATGAAAACTCGGACGACAACTAAACAAGACAGATTCTGGTTTAAATTTCTTTCAATTTTCTTGTAAAACGAATCTTAAAGAATTGCTTCAATTTACTTGACACTGTTATGAACTTTACCATGTGATTGTCTGTTTTTATTTTATGTTCGTTTCATTGTTTTGTTATTTGCTAGATTTCAATTATTACCTTTTATTTCTGAAGTTTTCTCACTTTTTTGTTTCTTTCTCTTCAACTTCTATTGTGAAAAATAAAAAAAACACAAAAATAACTTAAAATTTTTATAATGACGATGACTCGTTTCGTTTTTTACGGTTTCTTCTTTTAGTTGGTTGCTTCTTGTTTTATTGTTGTATTATTCGATTTTGTATGTTAAACAACAAGATACGACGTCAAACGTACGTCGGCGTTCACTGCGACTGAGAACAAATCGAAAACTCACGCGTTTTATTATTTCGTAAAGAATTTTGTTGCACTACTACTATACACTTGCAATTGATTTGGGCCAAGTTAACAAACACACTATCATCGTTTCGAATGCACTTTTCACGTTTTTGGTTTTCATTTATTTTCGACAAACCCAACAGGGCTTCACAAACTTCACTTTTGTAATGAAATGAGGTTAATTTCTTTTTTAGGGCAAAAATTCCTTTGCATACAGTATTCTGTTTTTTTTCTGTTGTATTTCTTCTTTTTTCTCTTTTAAATCAGTTTCGATTAACTTTGATTCGCGAATCATCCGCTATCGGTCATGCCGTTACATCGCACACACGTTGCAGAGTAGCTGAACTAATAACACATCACGGTTGCGGTTGCTAAACGACTGTTCATATCGTTTCGCTTGTTGGAAGCCGAAACATGATGACTACTTTTGTTTGTTGTGAGTATAATAACCGGTACCAGAATACAACTCTTCCAATTGGAATGAAACTAATGTGTTGAGAGAGAGAAAAACTCAATGAGAATTGAGTGGTTTTTTGTAGCAGTGTGGCTAATGCGACTGTTTTGTATGACAAATAAAACGTCGTTTTAGTCAAATTTTTTGATAAATTAGCGGTGTACGAACTGTCGGTATTATTGTTCATGGATGTGGGAATGTCAGCAATCGACAAAAATGTTGTCATTAAAAAATGAGAAGTATCAAAATGTATGATATTGAAAACAAATGTCTGATATTGAGAACAAATTATTAGATTAGGTACTGTTTCGTTAACTCAGTGGGTTTCAGTTGTCAATTCCATTGTATACATGCCATATAAATCCTCATAGATTAGGTTAACCCGGCAAAAAGTTCTAATGCAAATGCCGTTTAAATGAAATTGTTGAAAAACAAACGATTACAGGCCGACCAACAACCATCCATTCGTGGTTGCCTGATGGATAATGGACAAAAGAGGAAACAATGTTAATCAAGCAACATTTAGGAAAGACTGTCATTTAAAAGCGATAGTGTGTTCACCGTTTAACGCCCTACACAATGGCATTAGTCTACGTTTAGATTTACGAAATGAACTCGTTCTCAAATTACGTCAGATATAATCCACTGGATTTGTGAACAGGATTAACGTGACCTTTGCATATATTGGCATATATTCAAAGGAATTGAAAATTTAAACCCAGATCGAGTGGATTTAAATCCACATAAAGTAGGTTAACCCTGTAAAAACTTCTAATGTACAAGCAGTTTAAACTCACTCTTCTTTACTAAATCCATTAGATTTCAAAAATGATTCCACATTCAGTTGAACATTTTTTTTTAATTTCTATAGTGGGGAACTCGATCTAAGATCGTCTATTTCATCTAAATTATTTCATGAAATTACTTTAGTGTGGACAGGGACTATCGTATACAGTTACGTTTGAATATAGTGAACTAATTTGTACAATGTCTATTTACATCAGGGTTATTATTGGGTTCACTGAAAGAATTCGCGAATATATGTTAATTTTAGATCCTAATTGTCACTGTTTAAAGTCCTGTAATGTAATGTTCCCACACACAAAACCAACTAAAACTTTTCAAATATTTATAAAGGTGTAATCGAAATAAATTTGCATGGAACATCGAAACAAAATTTTTATTCTTGCAGATTCTTCCATGTTCTTGAACAGTGTATAAATACAAAATTTTCTTAAGAGTGATGACCTTCACAGATTTTATCAATAACTTAAAATGCCGCCAGATTCCTTTAGAACTAGCACTATTGTTCGAACAGCATCCAATAAATGGGTAACCACTATATTTACAACACAAATAACAGATATTTGTAAAGATAGGGATCTATAGTTATACTCCAATAAAATCGATAATGCTTTATTAGATATTTAATATTTGTGTACTACATTAAAAATTAAAGAAATTCTAGAAGAATCGCCTTTTTATTTTATAAACAATCCAAGTAAAACAAAAGTTCCAAATAAAAATCAAAAATCTTTCAATTGTCGGTCATTTCGATTAATCGATTCCATGCCAACCCTTGCGATTATCTTGCAACACATAATCGTGTTATCGACAGTCTAGAAAGAAAAAATACGACAAAGAGTGTTGAACGGAGGAATTTTGTTGAAAATAGAATTTGTTTGGAAAAAAGAAAATAGTTTATCAGCATTTAAATTATGGCTACCCAAGAATTGGTTAATGAGGTAACTATAGTGTTAAACTATCATATTGTGGAATTATTAAAAACTCCTACTTTCAGATAAAACAAAATGTCATCGAGAAATTTTCGGAGCTCAAATCTGCATTAATGATGCGGGAAAAGCTGTTGCTGCGGCAACTGGATGTTATCAATACCACAAGTAAACAGCAATTGCAACAGCAGGACGATAGCGATGAGAAAAACAATCCTGGCATTGAGTTCCTGGCTGATAACGAAAAAGAGCTGCTGGCAGCAATACGCAACTTTGGACGCTTTCAACTTACCAATATTAATTTGGCTTTACAGAATCAAAACGAAGATTACATCAAGCCATCTGACGACCATGAGACTATGTTCAAGGGTTTAAATCAAAGTGTGGTGGAGGGCAATCACGAGGATGAGGAAAGTATTGTTGTTGACTTCTCGCATCACAAGACGTTGATGGAACGCAATGCTAAAATGGTTAACGATAGCATTATTAATATAACACTGAAAGAAGCCAAAGAGCTGATAAAGCAAGCAAAGGCAAAAAGAGAATTGCCTGTGCCACCACTCAATCTTGAAGAATTGGACGACGAGGTGGAATCATCAATTGCTGACGTGGTGTCCAGTTTGGAGGCCAATTCAGAGCAATATTCAGGAAGCAACAACAATAATAAATATTCACAAACCCAGCAACAACAAGGTACAAAACAGAAACGCTTCAAACCAAAAATCACAATCAACAATTGTAATGGTACTATAAACTTAAGAAATATAGCCTCACTGACAATTAACTGTTCAACGGAGGAAAATATTCAGGCGCAGATACCTGTTAAGTATGCACAGCCAGGCGGAGAAGAGGGCGAGGACGATGATGTAGAAGAGCCACATTCATCTGCAACTAAGGCAAAGGACAATCACTCTTCAAAAACTTTAGTTGAATCTTCAGTGGTGTCGTCGAGCTCAAATACAGAAGAATGTACTTCACCCACATCAACCAGCCATTCAACCACACCAAATAGTTTATCCAACTATTCGAGTAATAACAGCTCACGTTCACACTCCAAGAAGCAGAAATTAAAGAAATCTCACAAAACCCAAACAAATTCAATGGAGAACAAACCACCAGTGGCAAGTGGATCAACAGATTATGCAGCTGCCGATTCTTCATCGCCAAATGAAGTTACTTGTGATTTCTATAATCGTCTGCTGAATGAAATTAAACGATCCATACATCAGCAGCAGAAAACAAGAACAAAATGTTCCTCTACAACACAATCGCATCGTCAACTGAATGCTGCAGATTCCACTACCTCACAGACAACATGCAGCGATTATGGTGATACACAAAATGGCAATAGTCGTCGTTTTGTATTGAAAAATTTTGAAAATCTTAAAATTATACTTGAGGCCAATAGTAGCTGTGATGAGGAATCATTTCATCCGGTGCAAATTGAACAATGGCTGGCAGAAATTATTTCCGAGACTGATTTAGAACCAATGCAAAATACCGATATATTGGAACATTCTAAAATACACAACGAATCTCAAGACACATAAAAACACTGTTGACCAATCACCGTAAAATAACACTCGAATCTATAAATATCAAATGTATTATCATCACTTTTCTTGCTAGCCGTTGTTTAAAGAGATCAAGTGTATTAATTCGTATTTAGATAACATATGCACACACACATTTTATTTTCAATATCACCTTTTGCTCCCTTTATGTCTCTTCAACAAAAGTTTTAGTTAAAAGTTATTGTTTCGCGTAAAAAATGTTTTTATGCGGTTCCGTAGAATCAAAAAACAATAGATTACAAAACTTCATTCCACATAAAATCAACTAAATATAGGCGGATAAGCACCCAGGAGCATTTCTGCACTTAACGCAAACATTTTAAAAATTATTGAATTTTGGTACTTATTGATACAAATCATTATACTTAAGTAATCTTATGACCACAATGTTTGGGTCTGCAAATTTTTTTTTTCGCGAAATTTCGTTAACTATATGATAAATTGCACATGCTCTTCATGGAAGTAATATCATTAGTCGTAAGAGTTTTATCTGTAGCTTAACACGAGATTAAATGAAATTTGTTTCATTGCAACGTATTAATATTGGAAATTTTAGTATAACCTTTTATGTTATATTACAAATTAAATATTAGTATATGTCTTAAATCGACACATTTTATTCATTTCATATATTTATTTTTAGTATTTTACTATTTATCGTGTTCTGTTTATGTACTTTTCTATTAATTGCATTTTTTTGTGAACCAATCAAGTTCATATATACATGTTTAACACTTAAGACTGTTTCTATTTTAATTATACTTTTATGTGATTATTTATTGCGTGCTTTTTTAATAATTGTCATTTAAAGTGTAAACAATAACGAAATTATGTTGTAATAACGTTTTTTGTATATTATAAAACAACAAATAATTTTCCACCACTAGCATTTAAATATGGGACACTATTCATATGTAAAACGTAATTATAAAAAAATTCGCACAGTATTGAAAAAAGATCTCAATGTAAAGAGAATAATTCACACTTTCATTTATTCATTAAATGTACTTAATTCGTCCTCAGATAATATTCCTGTGTAAAAACACATAATCGTATAAAGTATATTAATTTCTATTTACAAATCTATTTTTTATTAGTATACACTAAATTACCTATTCGAGAAAATTTATCAATAAAAAATATTAGTGTATTCTGACAGCAACCAAATATTATTTTTTTAATTAATAAACATTATTAAGTAACGCGCTATCAGCAGGTTTTATGTTGGTCTTGTAGAAGGTGCTAGAAAAAGATATACTCCTTTATATTCATATGATAATTACTATTTTATTTTTTCATTTGTGGTGATGGTGATCATCATATAATTATCTAAATATTATATAAAATAAGATCTATTAAATTGATCGTGTTGGGATTTTTAAAACGCATAGTTTAATCTGCCAAAAATAAGCAAGTAAGAGGAAATCGCCCTTGAAGTTGTTCTTTGTATTTGATTCATTTCAAAACTAGGGATAAAATCGCGAAAAGAGGTATTAGAAAAAGCTAATACTGTCGTATTATTTTGAAATATTCTCCATATTCTTATAGTACAATTTACCGTATCATTATAAACTGTGGATATTTCCTTTTGTCTTATACCTTCAAATCTTTGTCGGTTGATATTTATTAAGCAATTTTTGGACAAAACTTTAAGGCTGACCAAAACGAAACCAAGTAATACCGCTATCAATAGATAACTAATCGTTCAATTAACGTCATTTGTGACACTGATATAAAATATTTACATATTTCTATTCTGCGTCATCAATACCCTGATTGTTCCACATTGTAGGATACCCTTCACTTATTGCTTTGTACGTGAGTTTTGGACATTAAGCTTTATTTCAAAACGTACACAAAAAATAAATATGCACATAATAAAAACTCTGATAATAAATGAATTTTCTAAACCTGGTTCTGTATTAATTAACATTTTAATTACAGAGTGCAAAGCAAATACAAATTTCAATGAAAATTATTTTGTAAGAAACTGAATTTTGTAAATTCAAAATTGAATAATATAACCAACCCATGGCATAATTATTATACCATGAATATAACCATAACAATTACTAAAAGTTCTGTATTTAAAAATGTTAATATATTATATTGTAGTATTCTAAATTAATGTAATGTTCTGATGTTGGGCTTAAATTTAATTTAAAGTCAACTCAGGCAAAATTCCAATTTCGCTATACATATGGTACAAGGAAAATAAAAAAAGCTATCGTTCTCAAAGAAGGTATTGGCAGTTCGCTGCCCACTGCTAAGTTAGGTTATACGTACCTGTTTCTTTAAGATTCCATTAACAACTTCAAGGTTTTTATATTTTCTAGCAAGGGATGTATGTATATTTTTTATTGCACTATACTATTAAATTGTACACAAATTTATTGTACAATTAAACATACTTCATATTATTTTCACCCTCTTTAGGAACCCAACAAATACGTTTGTATCTCAATAAATAGTAAGTACACTTATTTCAATTTCAATGGAGAGGTAGCCTTTTGGATTTCCGTATATCATTTCTCTTCCAACAATATATCCAACAACACGGGAGTAAAATATGTTATAATGCAATCAGCACCGGCACGACGGAAACCTTTCATAGATTCCATTAGGGCCTGTTTTAAATCGAATGCACCATGTTGAGCAGCATAATAGATCATGGCATATTCACCAGACACCTGATATACGTACAACGGATGGCTGGGAAATGTATCTTTTGTTTGACGTAAAATATCCAAATAAGGCATACCAGGTTTAACCATCAGCATATCAGCGCCCTCTACCACATCTCGTTGTACGGCACGCATAGCCAAACCTTTGGAACCACTTGGCAATTGATAACACCGGCGATCACCAAAGGCCGGTGCACTTTTGGCAGCATCTCTAAATGGCCCGTAGAAATTCGAGGCGAATTTTGCCGAATAGGACAGGAGTGAAACACGATTTTCTAATTTGGCAGCAATCAGGCCCTCCTTAATGGCCTTAATGCGATTATCCATCATATCGGAGGGGGCAACAATGTGAGCACCAGCTTTACCATATGCCACCGCAACTTCGGCAAGACGTTTTATGCTATCTTCATTGCGTAAACCATTCTCATCGAGTATGCCACAATGGCCGTGCGACATGTACGGACACAAACAAACGTCACATGCTATCAACAAGTTGGGGAACCATTTACGTAGCAGGGGCAAAGCTCTCACGACTGGATTTTCTTTTGAATCAGCGTGACTTGCGTTTTCGTCTTTCATATCACAATCGACGACACCGAATAGCAAAACAGAACTTAAACCTTTGGCGATTAGGGGCTCCAAATGCTCTTTTAGCTTATTCACTCCCATTCTTGCCTGTCCCGGCATACTTTCGATGGGCTGTAGGGCATCATCGTCGCACACCACAAATAGGGGATACATTAAATTGTGTGGTGTTATTTCACATCCCGCTTCTTGCAATAGCCGCAACGTTGGGTGATGAATTCCGCTATGAAGTTTCTTATCCATACTGACGATACTGATGGTGAGATTTCTTTAGTGTCGTAATCAAGCAATGTTTTCTCCTTCACAGAAATAGCTAAAATGTTTGCCGGCTGGTTACTTCAAATGTTGATTAAGTAATAAAATAAAATGTAGTCAGGCCGTTGTCAGTCTTAAATGTTGTTATTCTGCGTTTGCATTTATTTTCTTTTGCACTTCCTCCCCGCACCACTACCGAGTCCACCTGGTCAATAACTCGATTGATATTTCGCGTGTTAATTTTTAATATTTTTATTGAATTGTAAGTAAGCGACACACTGCTCAATCAACGAAGTCGTAGTGTGGACGCTCTTTTCTTTAATGAAATGTCCCTGCATGTGCTCAGTGCGGTGTTTACTTTACTCTGTGATTGGTGTGTATGGGTCGTCTCTTTGAACGTTTTGTCGATTAGAAATGCCCTTTCCCCCCACACACCTCAAATGTTGTTATCAGCACGCACACACTAGGGATGGGAAAATTGAAATTTCTAAAAGTATGACTAACTTATTTTGGTACCTTAGTACGAAAATGGAATGTTTTCATACACAAGAATGTTTGGTTTGATGAACATGTATAGAGTGGAACACTTGGGCTACAGTATCTTTCTCTCTCACATCAAAGATGCAAAATTCACATTAGCAGAGTTTGTCGTTCACAAATGTTAATGTGAACTAGGCTTAAAATGGAAATTTTCGAATTAAATAACTATTAAATTAAATGAGGGTCTATTTTATATAGTGGACCGATATATCCCGTTTTCAGTATCGCTTCAACAGAAAGGTTTAAATCGACATAGAGTTCTATGGCATGGTATGGTAAAGAATATAAAAACATGGTGGGCCTCCGATCCCATTACATTATAATATACATTATCCAATTTTTATTATTTTGCTGTTGAAAGAGTTTAGGAGAATGGCAACCCTTCATCACTCTCGCCAACATACTGACAACTGTCGCAAGCAAGCAGATTTAATAGGTGTGTCTGGTTACCCTAAAGTTTGTAACAATTGTTACAAATTGTTACTGGAAGTCGTCTGTTAACCCAAAAGTTCTGCAAAAGAGAGCGGTTGGAGAGAGAAATTTTGACAGTTCTTTCAGTGAGAGTTTGCAAATTCTTGCTGGAAAAATTTCTTCTTGCAATCTCTTGCAACTCTTCTTCTTCTCATACATCGACATTCAATCAGATGTTTTCTATTGTTTGTTTATTTATTTTTGTGCTTTCAATTTGAAAATAATTTTTTTTGGAATTAGCAAGACTAATTGTTTTTGGAGAAAAACTTTACAAAACGAGAAAAACGTAAGTATTAATATGTAATAGGAAAATAAAAGACTATTTCCAGCATTTTTAGAAAAATGACGGAAGAAGATCAGTGTGTCTGGGGAACACATCAAATCTATCTTTCTTTTATTGCTCATTTTTTTATTTTATTTCCTTTTTATTTCAAAAACTTGTTAAACTGGTTGTGTTTTCTTTCTTTTAATTCTTTATAATGGCGGACAAATTGGTTTGTTTTGACAAATCAGCTGATTAGTTGCAAGCTTCTGCAGGGATGCCGTCTGTTTACTTTTCGCATTTTTCTTGCAAAAGAGAATAAAACTACCTTACTCTCTCAGAAAGAAGTTACTGGACAATTCCTGCAGGGAAAGTAACCAGACACACCTAATAAGGTGCCGCATCAGCCCAGCTGTTGGTACACTGTTGGTACTAGTAAAATCTAGTATTCAATTTTGATTTAATCGTGTGAAAACGTAAAACAATTTTGGCAGTTGAAGGATTTTCAACCAAAATTGCAAATAATAAGTCCATTCATTTACTTTCCCAGTAACATTTACTCAGTAGGAATTTGCAGAGTAAATACGTATTTTTCGTTCTTAAGAGAGAGAATTGAAAAAGTAAAAAAGATTGTATCAACACAGCTGATTAAAACAAGAAACAATTTGGAGAAAACAAAAAAGCAGCATTTTATTCGTATAAATACTTGCGTTTTTTCCATTTTAATGTTTAAATTCAAAAATCAATCAATTATCGTGAGAACAATTTTGTTGTTTGTTTACAAAACAGCTGATTGTACAATCAGCTGATGGTACAAGAAAATTCTTTGGGGTAAACGAAGAACATTTTTAATAATTTGTACAAATTATTGAGTAAAAGAACGAACCTAATATTCGCCATCGTTCAATTTATGGAATCCGAATTTTTGTCAGCTGATTTTTATTTCTTCCTTGCCTCTTTTTACACAAAACGGGTAGTCGGCGGCTTTGCATCACACTCATTCGTAAACTGTAGAACATGTCGGCGTTTTTGGGCATTGAGTTTGCCTTTCATCATCATCATCATCACTTGTCTTTTCCTGAAAATTAAAATTCCTTTTGCATTGATCGCGCAGAACTATAAAAATATGTACTAATTCGTATACATTTTTAAAGTACCCAAAATATAACAGGATAGTATATGGGTACAATGCCCATTAAGGATTTAAGGTAATTTGTTTTCATTAAAAAGTAAAAAAATCAAATATAAAAAAAACATTTATCTTTTAGTTGAATGAAACAACCATCAGGACGATCGTAATCTGTCAACTCTCCTACTGTTGTAACAGACATTAAAAAATTGCGTAGATCCCAAGTGCCGACAGAATGGAGAAATTGAAGCTGCACAAAAGTGAAATAATCCTCTACTTCGGTGTTTATGTCGTCTATATCGGCTATCAGCTATGGTCGCTGATCAATTCGCGGCATAAAATACTTGCCATAGCACAATATGAATTTCCTCAGGGATGGACTTTTCTCAATTCTCGAAAGGACGATACAAATGATGAATTTTATGCCTTCACCGAATACATTAAACAATACTGGCCTTGGTACATCTTTCATTTTACCATCAGCACCATCATACGGAGATCTAATCCAAGGTGGCAAAGTATCGGATTTGTTGTGGTCACATGTATCATATTGAGTTGTACAATGAAGTTAATATCAATAGCATTGATCTGTAGCCTTGTCATTTCATATTATTTGGTGGCACAGAAGCACTCGAAGGTGTACGTGTGGCTACTTTCGCTCTTGTGGATGGTGGTTATGATTTTTATGAAATCCAATAAAATCTTGCGAGAAAATATGGGTTACATGGAATTCCATTACGTAATGGTAACATTGTGTTGGTGTATTCTTAGAGGTTGCAGTTACGGTTTACAACTGGCAAAGTGCATTGCAAACAGAGAACCCGATATCGAAAGAAAATATTCGTTTGTTAATTTTCTGGGTTATAGTTTTTATTTTCCTTGCTTCACCTTGGGACCATTTATGGGCTATCATCGTTATACACCATCTGATGAAATTGCTTGTGAGAAATTCACATTTAAATTATTTTTGTGGCACATTGCGAGAGTGGCATTTTGGTGGTTAGTTTTGGAAATTGCAATACATTATGTTTATGTCCATTACATGGCCTTGGATATTGAAGCCATCAAGGTGCTGGACACCAAGTTTGGTTTGTATGCAGTTGGCTATTTTATGGGTCAATTCTTTTTTATGCATTATATAATAGTTTATGGACTGGGCATAGCCTTTGCCCAATATGATGGCCTACGACCACCAAGAAAACCAAGATGTATTGGTTTGGTACATCATTATTCAGATATGTGGAAATACTTTGATGAGGGTCTCTATGAATTTCTATTTACCCACATTTATGCAGAGCTGTGTAGTAAAAATTCCTCAGCTTTAAGAAAAATCCTTTCGACAGCTGCCACATTTTCATTTGTATTTTTATGGCACGGTCACTACTGGTATGTTTTTGTATGGAGTCTCTTGAATTTCATATGTTTGGTTTTGGAAAAGGTACTTAAAACGTTGACCTCATCATTGTGGTATAATAAAGTAATGCGAGAAAATTGCGGGCTAGGCGAGGGAGGTATTCAGCGGTTTAATGCATTTTTGGGTTCACAAATATTTATACCAGCTGCCTTTTCAAATTGTTATTTTATTAGTGGGCTGGATGTGGGGCATTTTCTCATACATGAAGCTTATTTGGGTGGTTGGTGGAATTATGTGACCTTATCATTTTGTACCTATTGTTTCTATCAGTGTTGTGAAATTGTACAACACAATAGACATGAATCTAATCGAAAATGAACTTAATTTGACTGCCAATTTTGTTAAAAATAGTAATAAGAGAATATAATATTCAAGTATTATTATAGACTGTAATTTAAAAGCAAAGTGTGATTTGTAAAAAATCTTAAATGTAAGTTGAAAGGGACTGGTGTAATTCTATTGAAACCAATAAAATGTCTGTACAATAAAATAATGTTTTTTGTGTTGAATTAATAAGGGTGTTTAATATGTATTAAAGATTGATGACCTTTAAAATGCCATACGGGGTTTTCATTTGAATTCCCCTTAGTTCGAAATAAAACTCAATAATTCACATTATTCTGCGTACGACTATTTATTTAATATTTTAGTTTGGTTTTTTGGTTTTGAATTGCATGCCTTAAATAAAACATAGTAAATTAAAATTAATCATTTGTTTGCATTTCGTTCTTAAAACTGGTTTACATACTTCAGTAATAATTTCTTTACTGAACAGGAACAACATAAAATGAATTTATAAATAATATGATTACAATCATATTTCGATATATATTGTAAGTACAATTCTTTTTATTAATACTCACACAATGCAGAATTTATACTCCAACAAAAATTTTGCGTTTTTGAAGGAGTGGAGGGAGAGTAGTACAATTGTTCCAGGAACCTAAAATTATACTTCATTTTTTTTTGAGGGCGGGGTAAATCTTTTCATATTCAAATGGGTGTTAATGGAATTGTGGTTTGATGTTTGTATTACTTAATCACATGTTAACTAAATGCTAACTTAAAATAATTACATTTTGTTCTTAAATATTTGGTATGTTTTTTTAAATAAACAAATTGTCAATCAATTGTAAACAAAATTATGGCTAAATATGTATGAAATAAATGTTTGCATTGCTCAACATGAGGTGACTAAGATATGGATGTGTGATAGAGAAAACGCCTGTGTTTTTGCGGAGCCATTTCGCCACAGTCATTTTTTAGCGGGGAATTAGCCACTGGCAAGATACTGTCAACATAGTTGCAGATTGCGGTTCCAGATGGGTTTGTGTTAAAGGAAGCCTCAGTGTAGTGTTTGTTATTATTATTGTAATTGGTAATTGAGTTTAGTCGTCGCTGTGAATTGTTAAAATACATAATTTCTTGCGTTTCACCTCGTCAAGCCAAGGAAACTTGATAGAAGAGCCATTCTTCCATAAATGAAGGCACAAACGCCTTAGATGTGGTAAACTTAACCTTGGGCTTCAACAAGCCCAATTGTTCCTCAAACAATTCCAATGATTCCACACAGCTGGTGCCATTGCCATGGGTCAAATATTTGCCATCGGGTTTTAAAATTTTAAACGAATGCTCCAAAATTGTGCGTATGAAATCCCAACATTCACCAATGGGTGCTCCAGAAATTGGTATATCCGTCAAATCGCCAAATACATAATCGAATTTACGGCCATCAGCAATGAATTTCTTCATATACTCGACGCAATCACCAACGACAATTTCATAATTATCACCTTTGCGTTTCTCCAAAACATCACCACAGATACTGTTCAGATATTTGTTGCAGGCTTGCATGACCAATTCATCGATTTCCAGCATAACAACAAATTTTGGTTTCTCCTTTAATAGTTCGTAGAGAAGAGCACCATCACCGCCGCCCAAAATACAAATTTCCTTGCCTTCGTAATTTTCGACACCACGGCCCATAAGGGTTTCGGTGTAAATTAAGTCCGATTCAGCAATATCTAAAAGAAAGGAAAGCTATTTTAGAATTTATAGAAAAATACTAAAAAACGCCGTTGGACACATTCAACCAGTAATGTATACATGACTTTATAATGAAAAAAAAAAATCAATCTATAATCTGATACGCTCAAATATGACTTAAAAAATGTGTTTTTTAAACAAGACACAAGAAAGGGTGAATCTGTAGTGTCAATTTTGTACAATAGATTTAGGTTTCCAAGTTAAAATGTTTAATCTTTTGCTATGAAGTATCAGATTGAGTTGGCTGTTATCCGCCATCTTCGAACTCAATCAATGGTTGTGCATAAGGCAGGCAGACAAACCGAGACGTACGCTCAAATATGACTTAAAAAATGTGTTTTTTTTAAACAAGACACAAGAAAGGGTGAATCTGTAGTGTCAATTTTGTACAATAGATTTAGGTTTCCAAGTTGAAATGTTTAATCTTTTGCTATAAAGTATCAGATTGAGTTGACTGTTATCCGCCATCTTCGAACTCAATCAATGGTTGTGCATAAGGCAGGCAGACAAACCGAGACGTACATGTAACGCCGACATATCGCAGGACATGAACAGATCGACTACGAAATTAAGGTTCAAACATACATGATCTTTAAATTCATAATTTCGCCGAACTATATAGCTGAGGTTGTTTCAAAATATTACGAAAACTTTGGTCTAATTAATGTGTTTTCCTTTGATTCTTTCATTAAATAACCATAATCTACTTACTTTGCAATTCATCCAATATCAACATATTGCCCAATGTTTTCGAGTGCATAATTTGAATTTTCTGGAATGGTGAGCGTGCCTCATAAACCAAGGCATCAATATCGTATTCGATAATACGTTCATCTAGAAGCACATGAAGAAAGATACAAAAATTAATAAAATTACGACCATTAAGAAGATGTAAGTATGTCCTTAATATGTATGTTATGTCACTTAGTGTTAATGAACAAATATACTTATACATGAAATGTGAGCAAAATTTCGTTTATATACAAAGTGTAGGTGTGTCTTTTCAAATGTATGACACACAATATGGATTGTTGAGGTGGTAAATGTCATATGAGGTTAAGGGGAAGGATAATTCAAGGTGTTTAAAGAAAACAAGATGAATGAAAATGTTTATTCTTTTTGTTTGTTTTTGTTTTGACTAACATTTTACGAAGGCACATTCATAAAATTATATATGTATGTATATAACCCATAGAAAGATTCAACGACAATAACAACAAGATGTATACTTAAGAGTTATTAAATATATAAGTGTTTAAAATACGTACAAACTATGAATGAAAAGTGGGGCCATGCATTTACAACTATCCATATTATGTATTGTAAATTTGTAAAATATTCATAATTTACTTTAAAATTGTATTAAATTGAAAAAATCACAAAATATTTAATATTTCGAAAGAAAATTGAAATAGCTAATAGGTTGTTTTTTAATATATCACTGAACAATAATAATAAGATAATAAAATTCCAAAAAAAACATTATTTTTCTTTAATGAAGAATTATCTGACGTTTCATATCACTCTTACAATTACATTTTGGAGAAAATAATATAATGTATAAATTATGATAAATGAACACTGAAATATATAGTTAGTTGTTTTTAAAATAATTTTTATATAATAGACACAGACAAAAGTATAAAATAAATAAAACAGTGGAAAAAGAACAAATTTTCGTTACCTGATGATGGGAAATATCTAGCAAAGTCGCCACGTTTAAGTGGAGGCAATACTTGTCCAGAAACGACTTTCAATTTCTTGGCAATGTTATTTTCAAGACGTTTTGATGACTTTTGGTTTTTGGATAGCGAACGATGATTGGTATTGTAAATGTTTCAAATCAAAGTTGTGATCGAGGTAGTGGTGTTGGTGGTCAAAGGTGGTTGTTGGTTTATCAATATTGGTGTAATTTTTGATAATGAGTCGATGGTGAGAACAACAGCGAGAATAAAAAAGGATAGATATCAATTGATTTAAAATGTTTTCGTTGTTGATACAAAAATGGGAAATTAAAATATTTTAAATTACATAGTGATATAAATAATGTAAATTTGATAAATAAATAATATATACAAATAACAAGTTTAACTAATAAATTATAACTAGCATGCCATTAAACACAAAGCTGGAAAAAATCTAGATGTTGTTTTCTTTGAGGGGTTTCTACATCTCCAGAAGGACCTATACAATTTGTTTTCAACCAATACAGAATGAAGAAGGATTCATTGGATAAAATTGCGCTAAATTTCATTATTTTTTCAATAACAATAAAAAAGCTCTAGGGTTTCAGAGTGAAGGGTGGAAAATCTCTAGCAATAAAACATTAAATAAATTGAAAATAGTATTTATGCCTTGAAAGAATAGATACAAATTCAATGGTAATAATTGTTTCACAATATAAATAAACAGTATTTTGTTTCAATTATTTCGTTTAAGTGTTTTTATTTGTATTATTTAAACATTTAATTTGTTTTGCTAGACTTGCTGAATGATGAACGAAGTGATGAAACGAAAATTATATTGATTGATATGATTATTTGATTGAAGTTGACTGAAGAAAGAAAAATATGAAAAAAAACTAGAATACATTTCTTGATTCAAACTAAATGCAAAGGAAAATTAATGATAGATTCATTATCATCATTTACTATGCTAACCTGAAGTTGTCATGTAAATATCAATATATCCACCACGTTTTATAGGCGGCAAATATTTGGAATTTTCTGAATTTAACTTTTGTTGTAATATTAATTCCAAAGCTCGCATGGTCTGTAATACATTTGAGACACATACATATATAGTTTTATGTACAAAGAAAATATATGTTGTAGTTGTTGTTTTTTTACTAAAAGATTTCACTATTAGAACAAAGAAAATGTAAACAATACTATAAAAAGCCAAAACAATAATAACAATAACGACAACAACAAGAACCCAAAATTAAACGCTTTATAAAAATGAAAGCAAATTTTCAAATAAATCATTAGAATAAACAAAAGATTGCACAAACATTGAGACATTTTTCATCAGCAAAAGGTATGCAAAAAGCAGCAGCATCTGTTATATTTTCTTTTTCAAAATAATTAATTTATTATAAAAATAAACACACATAGGAGGAACAAGTGAAATTCAATTGTCAAGAAAATTATAATAATTTAGTATAGTTTATGATAGTGTTTATGTAAGAAACGGGTTTTTTATTAATTGTAAATAGCTACAAATTAAGTAAAACAAGTTTAAACCAACAAATATTTTTTTTATTATTTCCAATTGAAACGGACAATAAAAACCATCAATATTATTCAAAACCTCACGTATCTTGTATTAATAAAATATGGAAATGTATAATATGTCAATAGAAGTAGACTGATCGGCAAAACAAGGTAAGAGGATTTTAATTTTTCATTGCTTCATAAATGGGAGTTTGAATGTAAAGCCGACTGCCAAATTCACAGCAGCAAATTGTAAAAAATATATTATAAGTTTGTATTTCGCCCGAGCCCGTTGTATTCATTATGTATAAATTGAACTGAGGCAATCTCTATGTCTTGCTCGATGCTTAGTCTACATCTCACTTCCTGAATTTGGCTAATCATATAATGTTTTGAATCAATATTTCCCATCATAACCGTTTAGATCAATGGAAGGTTCTTCCCATGATTCAAGGATACACCAAGTCAACAGATTATTTCCCAATTAAGCTGCTTAATCGTGTCCTCTTACTCATACTTAACAATCATTTCGGTTCGAATACTCGTAATGATGACAATAATAGATTAGGTTAATTCACAATTTTTGTAAACGATTCCCAATACATTATCTACATGCCAAACATAAAAGTATACTGATTCGAATAATAATAATATACGCATTCCGTAAAAATATCTAATATTGTATTTTAAAATAAATGACTTTCCCTTTCAATATGTAGAGGGAAGATGGCAAATGTCTATGCTTGCTACGTCTTCCTTTAGAATCCGATTATTTTTAGCATATTCTATTCTTTACACCTCATAAGAGACTAAAGAGAGGGAATATTAATGAGGTTAATCATATGAGCAAAGCAGAAAAATTGTCATATATTTGGCTATGAAATATTCGAGGCAAAGTATATCTTCATTTTGCTATGACCAAATAAATAAAGTATTCAGGAAATTGCATATTATTTCCAATTTGCATTTGTTTGTGAATTCATACTGCAACTTGTGTTGAGTATTCTTTATTGAATTTTACTTGTTGACTTTATAAATTTTCCCGCCAAAACATTCTTCTTTCATTTGCTTCTAAAAAAACAAGAAACACATTTTCTATATTTATTTATAAACAAGTACAACACTCAATGATGACATACGCAACCGGTTGGTTGGTCGATCGATCAGCCGGTCAGTGTTGCCGGTATAATTTGTTTATACAAAACGATAAGAAACATAAACAAAACATTGCGGTCTCAGGTCATGTATTCATTCATTAACTCACTCCGAAGAGACACAATGTGTACAGCAGTATTAATAAAAATAATTCTTATCGCCAGTTTGATATTGAAAATTGTTTCTGGCAAATTAATCTTATGCAATGATGATTGAAATTAGCAATGCATATTTATAGTATATGTTTCTTCATTTATATATTTATGTTTATAAAGTATAATGACTTTAATATTTTTAAAAATGTTTAGACTTTGCAAAAACGCTGTCTACGAACTCACGTGTTTTTGGTAATTTTAGGTTAAAATTGTTTTTATTATTGTTCTAGAAAGTGGTAGAGGTGAAACATAAACAAAACATTGCGGTCTCAGGTCATGTATTCATTCATTAACTCACTCCGAAGAGACACAATGTGTACAGCAGTATTAATAAAAATAATTCTTATCGCCAGTTTGATATTGAAAATTGTTTCTGGCTTATTAATCTTATGCAATGATGATTGAAATTAGCAATGCATATTTATAGTATATGTTTCTTCATTTATATATTTATGTTTAAAAAGTATAATGACTTTAATATTTTTAAAAATGTTTAGACGCGAAAACACATGTTTGCAAAAACGCTGTCTACGAACTCACGTGTTTTTGGTAATTTTAGGTTAAAATTGTTTTTATTATTGTTCTAGAAAGTGGTAGAGGTGCTGTCGAAGAGTGAGAATTTATGGTGGGTTATGTTATTTTAGAGGTTTTCTTATAAAATTTAGCTGTATTATTCATCCGGTTTTAAACAATTTTTTAATGTAATTCATAAATTCATTATTATTATTATAAGAATTTTTATGATGATCTATGATCTGAAATCATATTTTGATTGACTAGTTTCATAATTTTTTCTTCAAGTTTTCTTTTCGAGAAAACCTAATTTTGGAAATCGATAATTAGCGACAAAGCCTGAGACGAATCCACTAATAATGTCACTATTATAGTTATTCGCCGTCCAACTTTCCGTAGTTTTGGATAACAACTATTAGAAAATGTTCTTAGGCTCGTATAATTTCCCAGAATTGGCCTGTAACCCAAAAGTATTCCGTTTCTTGTTAGTAAATCTAGTTTCCTAAAGTAGACATTTTCCCTAGTTAACCGTATATAATTGGAGTTTGCTACAGTGACACAAGGGCAGTCTTTAAATCAATTTTATCCTTATTTGCAAATATCTATATTTTTGGGTGTTGGAAATATAATTACATTGAAGGAATCATAATGGTAGGTTTGCTTCATGGCCACATTTACACCCAATAATTTGTCTCAAATAAGTCCACATATCGAAACGTGATGCATCGAAAAATTCTGAATATTTTATAAATTACAAATACCCCAGTCAACAACTCTCTTGGTAGGACTTGAAGCGGAAATAATAATCCATAATATAACATAAATAAAGAAAAAAATTTTGATCGCTTATTTGGTTTTACCTTCTTCCCTAACTACATCCTTACTGGATATCAACTAGTTTTTCATAATGTCGTTGTTTAAGGATTCTCAAGAGATTATAATTATTTCCTGTAAATATAACCTTGGCCAACTTTATGCAACTATACAGCAACATACAGATATTTTCAAGGTCATTAAAAAATTGTTCATTCTATTTCTAAAGCTCCCCAGAAACATTGCAAAATAACTAACAAAAATCAATGACCGGCAAACGTGTATGTAAAGTATAAAAATGAAAACACACAAATGATATAATTGTGTCCAAAGTTGAAGGCTATAGTCGTCGTGTTGTGTGCTGTAAGGGTGGCAGTGGTGGTGGTGGCTAAGTTTAATGATGGGCACAACCTCAACATTGCTTGTGAACTTGAAACAACACCCTTTCAACAATCGTCCTCCACGAATGGCCAAAGAGAGGCGGCAGGAGATATAGAGAAACAAGGAAACTGAACACCAACGACCCCCCACAGAAATACAAAAGCATGATAGCTGGTGAAGGCCAGCAACAGCAGCAGCGGGACAAATGCAAAAAAATGTTTAAAATGAAACATTTTTTCCAGACATCACAAACTTTTTCAACAAGTAATGATTTAAAAAAATAAATAATTAATTAAACTGAAAAACAAATACATGTAATTATTATAAGGCATGCAATAAAAATTGAAAATAAATTATAAAATAAAACAAATAACTATAAAAAATATATACTAATAGAATATTCTACAACAATAATCTTACATCGAATGACAATAGCTGCTCTTTGCCATCTTCCAAATAGTATTCCAAATTGATGGTAACCAAACCCTGACCAAAAATTCGCACCGTAATTATGGTCTCCTTGTTCTCGGTCAAAACGGCAAAGTACCCATCATCCATTGGCATTTGATACTGCTGTTCCAATTGCGGAAATAGACACTCCAATTCATGTCGTAATACTTTGGCAATCTCTTGCCTTTCTTTGGGATCGGAAGTGCGTACGGGATCCACAGTGAAATCGAATAAAACTGTTTGTGCGGCCATTATAAATTTATCCACAGGATTTAACTTAACAAAATATATATTAGTAAAGAGTACGAGGTATCAGAACGAAAACTTCCCGACACAATACCCAATGTGTTAACCGTAGCACAACAACAAATGTTCTGTCTGCTGTTCTCGAATCACCACCAAATTTTCAAATTGGTTATGAGACAAAATATCGATAAGTTAGTTTGATAGTTTATGCTATCGATAGGATGGAAATTGTGAACAGTTTCTGTGTTATCATTTCATAGTGATTAGCAACGACTCCTCACAAGAGTTAATGTTTATAAATTGAGGAAAATTCGCAGAATAATAACTAGTTTTTAAAATTTATCTTTTTATACCCCCTACATCTCTAAAAGAGAGTTCGCCAATTATCCCCTTCCCCTTTTTTCCCCCCTTTTAGTTCCCAACGCGCTTAGGGATATTTAAAATAAAAAAAATATCTTTTTTAATTTTCTAATAGATGAGGATCATTGTAAACAATAATTAACCCTTTTAATCAATGTATTGCTCTCAAAAACAACTAAAACCTATCCAAGAAATTTGAAAGAAAACTAACAAAAGCAGATTGTATAAATGTCGTGGAGTTCGGTCGAGTCGAATTTTTTATACCCTCCTCTTGAATATTCAAATTCAAAATACCTATAATCGATCGGGAAAATGAAATAAATTATTTTCCTGCAGAATTCTATTTTATGAGAGAATGAAGCAACAAACTGTATACAATTATATGAAAAATAAGATAGGGAACTTCAACATACACCATTATATGGTGGTTATTGGAAATATTCTATGAACAAGTAGTATAACTAACAAGAACCCAAAATGCAAAATTAAAGCCACTTTGGTGGGAAAGCCTAGAACTATCAAAATATTTGAAGTGGGACTAGAGGTTTCTTTTCTGCTTATATGTCTTTTACCAAGCAATAATACGGAATGACAACTCATAGCCTTTCATAGGTTGGAAAGTGAATTAAAGCGTGGACCGATATATCTCAATTTTAAAATCAAACATGATGTATGTGAAAAAATTCTAAAGCAGTATATTAAATATTTCAAGTTCTATAATGATTTAAATAACGCTTGCGATGGAATGTTTTATCCATGAAGAACCCGTAAACATAACCTAACATAACCTATGTTTTTGGAAAATACACCTAGGACCATTAAAATACCTATAATCAGACAAGACTTTTATAAAGAGTATTTACATCTTCAAGGTATTGGGAACGGAATTCAAAATAACTTAATATTTGCAATTTAATAAAAATCGAACATCTAAGATGTGTTTCTTAAAAAAATTCCCCATATTCTCAATACAAATAATGCCAACATTAAAAGAGTCCACCTCGTTCATTATAAGTGTGCCTTCTCTATAGCTGTTATTACGGTAACCAACAAACATACACTCTCTCCCTCACTCTCTGAGTATGTTTCCGGTTTATGAAGGAATAGCCCAGCTGTTTTGATTTTGTCCTAAAGGAAAACAAACAAATGTTTTGACAAGTGCTTAACAAAATGAAAGATTTCGTTCTCATTTATTACATACGACACTTAAAAGGAGGACGCGAGCGAGAGAGAGAGCTTTGTTTATGTGGGGGTAAATTGGGCACAAATCTCACGATGACAAAGTAGTTGCGGACAAATTTTCATTGAGTGAAGACGGGCTGGCTAACAAGAAAAACAGAAATGCCAACAAAACAAACCACAACATAGTACAGTGAACATAAAATAAAAGCACAAAATAAAATCACACAAAAATGTAATCAAGGAAAAGAAAAAAATACAACAACAACACATAACGAATAAAAAGGAAAAACTTTAAAATGCTGCCAATCAAATGAATTATATAAACAATTAGTGTATTAAATAAATAATATAATAAGTTATTACTGTTTTTGTTGTTGGCTTTAATAATTCACAAAAGAGAAATAATCAATAACTAGTACACCACATCAAAATTTACAAATATAATCAAAAAGAAAATAATTTTTTTGTAAAAAAAAGAAAAACAAAACTAACAACAAATCAAAAGAAATCTGTGCTGTCAATTACCACAGCTAGTCGTTGAGATTTTTGATTTATCTGTCGGGGCTTTTTAATGCACCCATGAACCTGAACTTGAAGGAAACAGCAGCAGACATTTGATGTGTAAGTTGTAATCGAGTGTATGAGTGTATATTTGATATACCATATATGTATGTAGTGTTTGAGTGTATTAAATAAAAACTTAGAAGAGAAACAAATCACAGTGCGTATGGGAAGAAATGTGTGTGGGCGTTTTTGGTGAAAATATGAATTGGCAAAACATAAAAACTAAAGGCCATAATGGCAAAACAAGAATATTTAACAAATTAAGACGAGACAATAATTTAGTGAAAATGAAAAAAAAAAAATACAAAATGAAAACATTTAAATGGTTGGTTAATTTCAACCCCCCCATTTTTTTTAATAGCCTCCCCACACCACCCAATGCATGCAACATCGATGACGGTATGAGTTGCTATTTTTTATGGCATTGTTGGCGCCAATTGTTATGATTTTTTGTCTTGCTGCCTGCCAAACCCTGCTTCGACCACATTGAAAACCAACCCCCTTTTCCTTATAAATCACCACTTGAAAGCCATTTGTCTTGGCTACATACAAATTTCCACTTTCACCCATGTGAGTCAACGTGCTGATGGTCCTTTGGGTAACAAGAAAACTTCAAAAACGTCATCATTACCACAACCACCACCGCCGCTATCGTTTACGACGCCAACAATTAAATACGTATGTATGTACGTATTTGTTTATGTCCCATTACATACCGCCGCCGCCGCTGCTGCTGCTAACCATTACCATGGTTTCATTTTTGGCAAGGAGGAGGTATGTCATGATGATTGTTGTTGTTGCTTTTGCCGTATTGACCTCTTTTATACAAAGGAATGGTTTCAGTTTAAATGTTATGTTGAGCCTTTTATTTTATTCGTACTTATAAAGACCCACATACATACATATATATGCAGGCAAAGAGTCCTGAAATGTAAATAGTATATATTTTAAAAGGAACGTCCTAGTCTCCACAATCGCATTGATGTTGGCGTGTTGCAATCGCATACATGTTGATGTACGTATGTATGTGTGTGTCACTTTGTAAGTATGTATTCAACGTCCAGTTTGTGGGTTGGTTGTGATGGCATTGCTGTTGCCGGTGGTATGATTCATTATTGTGTCGTCTTATTGCCGACAGTGGGCCTTTCCAAAGTTATTACATGCATTTCGGAATTTCCATTCATTCAATGGAATTATTTATTTAAATATGAACATATTAGGAGGATTGACATATTACTTGAGTGAGGGTGCCTGATAATATTGAGAACAAGGCTCCAGAGTCCAGCTGACTTCCTGAACGTATTCGACTGTAGAATAAATGAATGAAGGACACTTCAATAAGTGAATCAAAGGTTTCGCTCTATCCTACATTTTATGTTGGACTGAGTTTATCCTGGAAGTAAAGTCTTGGCTCAGAAATTTGTTCTTTTCTTTCTTTCAGGGGAATTTGATTTTCTTGTTCATGAATTTATCCTTAAGCTGTCAAGAGTCTGCCCAATCTACTTATCCAAACTCTTAAAATTACGATAGAGTACTTAATAATTAAGAGTTAGAGCTTTGAGTTTTTGCGCAATCATTGCCACTACTCCTAGGATGTTTGGCATTGAAAGTGGGATATATGGGTCAATATCTTGAAATAACACCGACTTTAAGTATTTGTAAAGCACCAGTTTTATTTTTAACTTAATTTAATAAATGTAATGTAATTTGGTATCATCAAAGGATGTAGATATCTGATTTTTTTGGACGTGTATAACGATTATTCCACTTGCCAACGAATAATAAATTATGCGATCAATAGACTCTGACTTCCCAGTATCGGACTAGAATCACTATATATATTCCTGTTTGTGATTTTTGAGGATGATAAAAGGGCCTATTGATTTCATTTTATCCTCCCATTACAACGCCACCGAAATCGCTGTCATAGCCGGATTTTTTCATACCCCAGAATACTTTAAGAGTATGGGACGCCGAACTGCATATTGTGTAACGAAACTCTGGCTTGTGATTTTCTGATCTGTATTAACCTCACGACGGTGTAAAAAATAGTTAAGATGTTTCTACATCCTGTCGAATAATAAACTTCGAAACAACATACTCGAAACCGAAGATCGTAATGTTCATATGTATATGGTTTATTAAGATGTATAAGTTAGTAGGTATTCCAAAAGATTGAAGCACTCTGTGTTGTAGGGATTTTCGGGTCGGTGATCATTAACTGGTATTTTCTTTCCTGACGATATCTATGCAACCAAACATCATAAATCCTGCTGAAGACGACTTCTTCACTCTTTTAAAATAATCTACAAGTCTCCTGTCAATAGTTACTTATTTCTTTTCTACCTCATCCTACATACGAAATTTACTTATTTTACTGTCATTGCTAAACCAACTCCTAACCTCAGCCTATGTTCAAGATTCAAGTTCGATTTGTCCACCATGAACTAAATGTACTGATTTTAGTACCATTTACAACATTTCACAAACTTTCTAAAACTATCCAAGGTTTCAAAATTATATCCCTGTCCGAATATGTCTGAATATTTTCCATCTAAGCATTTGGACTCAGGATGATTGCGTCGGTATATTGTATTATTCCCGAATGTGTTGTTGATCCAATGATCGCGCTTTGGGTCTCTCTATCTCCCTTCTCATTTTATATATTTTTGTGCGGTTTAAAGCCATAATGGCAAATATTTTAAAATAAAAAAAAAACAACAACAACAAACATTCCTTTGGCCTTCTCCCCGATGGGACTAACCATGTGCCAAACACATGAATTTCCAATCATTAATCAATGATTGGAAGACGTAGACAACTAACTGTCACAATATAATTATTTATTATTTGGTACAGTTTACCAAGTCAATTTTCTTAGTGAGTAGCAGTGACATGGGTGGCATGAGTAATATGAAATGCATAT